CAGCAGAGGTTTCAATCCATGCGCCGTCCTCTTTCTTGAGATAAGAAGGATTTGCACTTTCCTTGGATAGAACCTTGCTGAGCCTAGCAGAGGATGAGGTTGATTCAATTGACTTACAAAATTCCTTCCAGCCATTACTTTTGGCCTCCCTGATAGCTTTCTAATAAGTTTTAAGACAGTCCTTGTATTCACGCCAACTATTATCCTTATAGCTTTCATTAAACTGTTTTCGTGTTTTCTGCCTGAGATCACTTAATTCTGAGTTCCACCAAGGTGAAAAAGATTTTTTGCTTCTACTTATTGGACAAGATTTCTTGTAAGCTATATTAAAACCTGCCTCAAAATTATATATCCTCTCATCTAACTCACTAGTAGAATCAGTCTTCATTTGTTTTACTTTATTAAGTTCCACATTAGTTACCCTTTCAAAAATGTCCCATTTTATCCTCATCGGGTTTCTAAAGGGGATGCTATGATTTGATTTAATGTTTAAGTTGAAGAGAATCCAACTTTGGTACGAAAAGGATTTCTTGTCAGATACCTTCCAATTATTAACTACAATATCTGGATTTTCGGATAGAAGTGTTATATCTAGCACTTCTTCCCATCCATCAAACCCCTGTGAACTGGGGAAAGTGAAAGTAGGAGTTTTACCTCTATTACAAATTAAAAGATTCGAACTGTTAATAAAATCAGAAAGGTACTCAGCCCTGTCATTGGTTTCCGAACTGCCCCAAAGCGTATGCCTCGCATTGGCGTCGCATCCAATTAGCGTGGGAGTATCTTTTGATGAACTTCTGTTTACTATCATTTACTATCAAGCTTCTCTATCATGCGCCATATAGGCAGAAGCCACAATAAAGTTTTGTCCACCTGGCATTTCGATCCTTACAACTGTCAGATCGTTATCACTATACTGTTGGCATAAAAAGGCATTAATACATTTTTTAACTAGGATATAGTTAATAGATTGTTATAGTTTTTCAGCATTAGCTCCATGACGTCCTTACCTCTGACCCATGGTTCTTGCACGATGCTGACGTCAACATCCTCTTCGACTAGAAAGATGGCGAGGTTATTCGAGGCGATTTTCGAATGCTGAAGGTTGATTTGTGCTACTTTCAGCATTCGGGCAGGTTTACGAAGTTACTTCAGGTCATCAAGCAATTTGTTAGCGTCCTCTAACTCCTTGCCTTCATCATCATTGCCTATTGGACGGAATATTTTGATTTTTGTGTGCCGTACGCCAAACCTTAGTTTACAGTCCATTTCTTCTAAAGGCTTCACGGATTCCTCGTTTATCATCAGAAGAAGCGTCATGTTATTCTTTTAGGTGCCCTCGTCGTTGATGACTACCCAGTCATTCATTAGCACCTTTGGGTTTTGTCGTTGCAGCAGGTGGAGTACTTTCCCGTGCTCCAAGTCTTAAACCTTCCCATGCATCACTAACCTTAGCAATTCAGTTGCCAAGAAATATTTTGAATAGTTGGTCACCGCATTTAAAGACCCAGCAGCCACGAACCACTACCGATGATTCAAAGCCTGGTGTAGGGGAATCTAGATTTGTTAAAAGTGTTCCATCACCATTTTAGCCAACTTGGGCTCAATCTCACCACATTTCTCCAGCACCTTTTTCCCATTGCCGGTAATGTCGTCAATGAGCGCCACCTGTAGCTCATCCCTTGCTACATCGCTATATACCGTTTTCATGCTCGTTGACGGTTTGCTAGTAGACCTTTTCGCAACCTTGCTTCCTGAAGTGTGGGGCATCTCATCCTGAGACCGATCCCTCTTCATCGCCTTGGCGGATTTTTATAGGGTGGCCTGGTATTCCTTGTACTCATCCACCACCTTTTGGTATCGTATTTTGTCTGTACGATCAAACGCCTGTGCCTTCAGCTTCATTTTTAGCAATCTTGCTAAGAATGAATATAGCCTTCTGGTACCTTTGGCGTCTGATCTTTGCCTCAGACTTTTTGATTTTTCAGCAGGCGCACTATGGCTGGCGCTCTTGTCTACCAGTTTTGCTATTAAGGATGAAGTAGGCGCAGTACGGCTGCTACTGCCTGCATAGGTTGATACTGCGGTTTCGACTCACTCGTTTTCTTGACTTGATGCCAGGAGCTCATCTTCGGAACTGGTACCTAGTTCCGTGTTTGTTTTTTTTGTATTTATTTTTTTAAAAGAATCTATAAATATTCCCACGAGTGTAGGGGAGTGGAAGGTCGTCCGAAACATAGCCCCCTCTACTTCGGAAAAGCTAAATTGAAACCGGAGGTCGCCAGGTATCCGGAGTCCACCGTTCTAAGACACACTCACGCAGTGCCATTCATCCTTGGGCACGATCGTTCATACACCCAGGATAGCGGGTTTTATTGAGTTTTCCTCTCTAGATCCGCTATAATATGTGGCTCTGCACCACGTATGGACGATCTTGATTCATCATAAACCCTGGTCCCCAGATACCTAGTGGACCTTCACACTTACATTCACTCTAACATGAGACACACATGCATACATAAAAACACAAGGAAATAAAAGCACACATGCGTACATATAAACTACAGGAAAAAACAACTACTGGTAGTTCTTTGTTGTACCTACAAGCCAGACCGGCATCAGGTCCCTCGACCAAAGCGTAGGCAGTGAGCGGGAGACCCTTTGTCAGCAAGATTGTCTGTAGCTAAGCCCCTACACCACGTCAAGGTGCCTACCAAGTAGGGGAAAGAGGTGAGCTACTTTTTAATTTTATTTTAAGTAACAATCTTTTTATTTGTAATGATGACAATAGGCCAAGTTTTATTACCAAAAACAATCAGGAAGTGTTAGATGTCACTTTCGCTACTATCAAGTTTTATTAATCGGTCAAGAACTGGAAAGTGTCCACTCAGCACTCCTTTTCAGACCACATCATTCTAGAATATATCCTAACCCTATAAGAATCGAGCATCTACAATCAGAAAACGTACAGAAATGATAGAAATACAAACTGGATAAAATATAAAACAGCATTAATTGAGTTGATCTGGACAATCAATTCCAAGATCTCACTTCAGTGCTCAATGAAAATTTTTATTATGCATGTCCCCTAACTCGACCTAGTAGAAAATGCAACCCACATTGGTGAAATAAAGACTTAGGTCTTTTACGAAAGGAGTGTAAGAGAGTATTCAATAGGGCAAAATTAAACAATCATGAGAGTGATTGGTTAGAATACGAGATTTCTCTTCAAAACCATAAGAAAAATTTACGTAGGTCTAATAGAACTATGTAAGGATGGAAATTTACCCCAAATTTCCACCTACTGAAGAAAATAACAACACAAACTAAAACACGCCAACAGGACACCGATGTTTTATAAAACAACACATGTTTTTTATATTTATATTTAAATTGAAAAAAAAAACGAACTTACTAAATGTTGTAAATATCATGAATTTAATAAATTATTGTAAAAAACTCAAAAAAATGTGCCTACATACCAAAACCCACCCCGTACACGTATATTTGCAATACACTCACTGAATTTACTTAATAAATATTGAAATCAATTAATTAAATAAATAACAGTAAACAAAATACGTACCACATTTTCTTTATTTTCACTTTGTTTTATTAAATATATTTAAATATTTTTATGTTTTAAATTGAAAAAATTATAAAACTACACGAGACGACAAAGCACATTGATGAGAATCAAAACAAAACACAGAAACAACCAAACCAGAATTGTCAAAAAATTTTCGCCGTGGAAGCTATTCGAAAATAGCAAGAAAATGCAAAGAAATAAAATATGTATTCGAGTACCGCATGCAAGATGAGACAGCAAATTACCAAACGGAGAAATAAACAAAAGATCACCAAAACCAGCTGTAAACAAAAATGATGTGCTACACAAAAGCTCGGTCGAATGTGTATATAAGACGAGTATTTTACTTATGCGAACACTTGGTTTATAATTTCTAAGACACATACACCTAAGAATAGCAAGTCGAACTAAAGAATACTTTCAATAGCAGAAGTGTTTAACGAAGGAATAAACCTATAGAATTACAAAGACACGACAGGCGGTATAACGTCGACTGAGTAAAAGTGATTTCTCATAATAAACATAAGAATACTTTCTATCGCAGAGGTGTTCAATGAAGAAATAAACATATAGAATTACAAAGACACGACAGGCGGTATAACATCGACTGAGTCTAAAGTAACTCTCTATTACATATTCACTAACCAATTTAATTCTAATAACATTTCTATAGATAGCCCAGAAGAAGTATCCCGGAAGAAACCAAGCAAGGTCCTACAAAGAATTCGTATCGAAGACATCTAGGACATCTCTACCGTTGTTCAAATTTTGAACATGTGTCTGCGCGCTAATTACCTAAGTAACATATTCAGTTATTTGGGTATTAAATATTTTAGCATTTTATTTAATATTTTAGTATTTTATTTTATATTTTTAGTAAATTAAATTAATTTCTAACAAAGGTTTTTCAAAGCCTTAAAATATTTATTCCCAAGGTTCTTTTAGACATTAAAATATGAAATGTAATAACAGGGATTAGTTAAAAATGTAAAGGAAAAGGAAGTAATTAAATAAGGTAACAAAGAAAAAGGTTAAGGTACATTTCCTTTAACCTTGTACCTAAAAGAAAAACCTAATTAAATCAAATTATTAGACTATGTAAAATTTAGTATTTAAGAGCAAAAATTATAGAAAATAAACGAGTCTTATATTTATTCTAAAACCGAACAGACGTGTGTTTTTAGTTGAAGTTTCTTGCTCATAAGTGGTCCTTCGAGCCGGATAAGTGGTCCATACGAGGCACGGAACTAAGCAAACCTAGAAGAATATACAGTCCACTTGGTCCGAGGAAACGCAAAAATTAACAAGGGTTAATAAGCGTTTGGGGAATAATTCTCGTAGGAATATAAACGAGAAAATAAAGGAAATTAAAAACAAAACTAAGAAAGTTTTTGTAAATTAAACAACAAAAATGTTATCAGAAGAAACAAAGGCAACACTACATACAAGAGACTCAATAAAGACATACGCGATATTGTTTGGTGAAATAGAAAAAAATATAGTCAACATTGGGGGAAGTCTTAAGTATGACGACAACTCAAGAAATGATTTAATGAAATATCAGTGGAAGGTGAGTTCCTTATGGGAAAGGATTCAACAAAAATTAACCATTGATATGAAGGAAAATAATTTGGGGATCGTCCAGGATGAAAGATACATAAGAATTCAAGATGACTACATGTCACTTAAGTTGAATTTGGACGAAAGAATACAAAGCATGGGAAAAAATATGGAAGAAGCATCGAAGAATTCAATTCGTGAAGTATTGCGCATTAAGAAAAAAGGGGGAGCCCAAAAAGAATGGATATCCTTTGCAGCAGAATTTGAAGAGGAGATAGCTACACTGAAACAAAAACTTGATCAATGTCAAAACTACAGTACATTTTGGGAAAACCAAGTACATTTCTGTACGATTACGAAGGAACTCCAAGAAGAGGAGATAGCTGCACTGAAAGAAGGAATTGCTAATCAGCATATAGCTCGCATGAAACTCGAAGTAAAGAATAAAGAGCAAGAAGAAGAGATAGCTGCACTGAAAGAAGAAATTGCTGATCAGCATATAGCTCGCATGAAACTCGAAGTGAAGAATGAACTCCAAGAAGAGGAGATAGCTGCACTGAAAAAGGAAACTACTGAGCAACATAAACTCGAAGCAATGTATCAAAAACAGGTTAGGGACTTACAAAAACAAATAGAACTTTCCACAGGTAAGACACAGGATGCAGGAGCACATTTACAGGCGGTACGTAAACGTGAACAAGCGGCTGAACAAGAATTGCTCCAAAAAGCAAAATATGAAATGGAAAAAGAAGGAGGAAAAACAGCAACAAAATCCAATAATAAAATTGCACCAATTATAGTTTCTGAAGGCGTTCAACGGCATTTTTTTCCCCCGGCAGCTCCACACTTTGGTGGAACGGTGGAGGCTTTAAAAACTGTAATAGAATATAATAATAAACGTAATTCAGAAAGCGTTCAAAGGCAGTTTTTTCCACGGGTAGCTCCACACTTCGGTGGAATGTGGGAGACTGAGGTAAAATCAATTCAATGTTTTCCCAGGGTTGCTCCACACTTCGGTGGAATGTGGGAGGCTGGTGGAAAATCGCTAAAATATTACTTAAAACGAGTGATTGGAGAAACCAATCTAGCATATGAAGAAATGTCAACTTTATTGCATCAAATAGAAGCAGTCCTCAATTCAAGACCTTTATATCAACAGAGTGACGGGGTTGGAGAAGATGCAGTATTGATTCCCGCACATTTTTTAATAGAAAAATCATTGTTAAGCATCCCTGAACCAATTCCAGACGGTACAATTAGTAATTGGGACCGGTGGAAACCGATACAAAAATTAATAATCAATTATTGGAAAAAATGGAAAGTGAAGTACTTGGTGACACAGGAAAATTACAAAAAGAGACAAATAGCTAGAAACGAATTGAGTCATCCAGCAAAATGGCCAATGGGACAAATTGAAGAAAATATATCTAAGCATGTGTCACACATATCAACAACTGAAGATAAAAAGAAGCCACCAAAATTAAGAAAAGGTTACAACATTTTAATGTATTTTTTTGCGCTATTATGGCTGTCAACAGGTAACGCTGGAGGATCAGTAAACGAGCTTGGCATCGATACCTTATACATGGGCAAAATTGGAATAGTTGATCACGTTTCAACACCATGGAATTTAATTGTATACTACAATATGCGACCTTATTTCAAAACGGCAGACCACATGAAATCTCTGATGATGCGAATTAAGGAATTAGAAAGTAAACTGGCCATTCTTAAAGAAGATAAGCTACAACTCCGAGAATTTGAATGGCATCATATAAGTGCGCATACATCACTAGTTTTCTCGGTAGGAGATTCTGGCCCCTTGCAGAATGTTCAAATTTTGAACATGTGTCTGCGCGCTAATTACCTAAGTAACATATTCAGTTATTTGGGTATTAAATATTTTAGCATTTTATTTAATATTTTAGTATTTTATTTTATATTTTTAGTAAATTAAATTAATTTCTAACAAAGGTTTTTCAAAGCCTTAAAATATTTATTACCAAGGTTCTTTTAGACATTAAAATATGAAATGTAATAACAGGGATTAGTTAAAAATGTAAAGGAAAAGGAAGTAATTAAATAAGGTAACAAAGAAAAAGGTTAAGGTACATTTCCTTTAACCTTGTACCTAAAAGAAAAACCTAATTAAATCAAATTATTAGACTATGTAAAATTTAGTATTTAAGAGCAAAAATTATAGAAAATAAACGAGTCTTATATTTATTCTAAAACCGAACAGACGTGTGTTTTTAGTTGAAGTTTCTTATCAACCGTCATAAGCAAATTCTTTTAAATACACCTTTCTGTTCAAAATTTTCCTACATAAATATTCTGTATTAAATTGTAATTAACTATACTTAATGAACTTTACTTAATAAAAGTATTTAAATAAAACAAACTTAAAAGGGATTATAATTTTGAATATTTTGGTTGCAAATAAAATTTATTGTAACGATCCTGGAGAGGCTGAGGATACCCTAGCAAATCGAATGGACCCCAAGGAAGAGTCGTTACAACTAGTTGGCAGTTATACTGTCGGGAAATAAACAATAATTCCGAAACCTCTAGACTACAGAAAATCCTATTCCAAAATCTACCCGTCTCTGAGTTACTCGAAAAGCTGTTGGGACATGGTCCAACAATAACAGTGAATCATTGGAATTACTACTAGATACTCACTTTCCGGGATCATCTGCTTCGGTAATTGCATCCACGAAGTGCCTTAATAGAGTGCCAGTTAAATCTATTAAAGTGAACCTGCAGATAATTAATGGGCCATTTTTATATGGCGTTTATATTGGCCGAAAATTGCTCATTTTGGTCAAAAATCGAAAATGAGAAGCGGATGGCTCATTCTTGCATATAAAATTTGAAGCGCGAAAATAAACCATTTTCTCACATTCTGTTTGAAAGAGGTTCGAATGCATTCCACATATGTTCCAAATGCAAAGGAATCCATTGAACATATCCTAAATAAAAGCAAAACCAAGGTAAACAAATATTTGATAGTTTTATTTCAGTTTGAATTGTTTGTAACAATGAGCTGCGAGAAGTTACTGAAAAGAAAACAAATTGTGTGGCCGCACGATGCGGAAAACTTTTTGTGTGAACTTTGGGCGGAAGACATAGAAAACCTCCGTGGGAATATAAGAAACAACCACATATATAAAAAAATTTCAACGAAAACTTTCATTGCGTGGAATGGAGGTGTCCGTTAAAGGAATTTCTAATAAAATAAATAACTTGACGAGCAAGTATAAGTAAATTTAATTACGTTTCTTGTATTAATTTAAATTATACATAAAGTATATTATTTATTTATTTACTAGGTTACATAAATTAAATTTTCAATTAATACAATTAAATTTATTAACTAATATGAAACCTAAAATATATTATAGAAAAGAAAAGGCAGCGATGGGCATGTCGGGTGGATCTCCTTCTATTTGGTCGCTGTACCATAAGGTACATGCCTTATTAGGCAGTTTCAAAATCCACAACGTCGAAACATTGATGGATGAAACAGGACATCCATCATAGATAAGGTATAGTAATTATAATATTTTTCTTGAATTTATAATAAGTAAAGTAATATTGTAGTTTAAAATATTTCTCCATTGGCCAGCCAGCAGTTTTGAAATCAAATGAAGATACAACTTTTTATCCATTGTCCGACTCAGTTGATTTTCTTTATAACGCGGACGCAGCTTCTCCCCTGCAGCAACTTAACTCTTCTACAGATGCGAATTCCATTGCTGCGGTTGAAACACCATCTTCTGGAGGATCTGCAAAAAGAACAAAAACAGACAGCATTTTACAAGAGTTACAAATAATGAGGGAGGAAAATAAGAGAAATAAGGGTAACTGGCAGCGTATTGAAGAGCGGCGAAACGATTTGCTGGAGAGATTGGTCAATAACTGTGAAAACTACCAGCAATCTTTATTAGAAGTTTTAAACAAAAAATAATAATAAATAATTATAGTATAGTAAGCATAGCACTGCTTGCATACCGTAGTATGTAATATAAATATTTTTATATTAGTATTGTAACATAAAATTTACACTAACTAAATTTTACTACACAAATAATACCAAACAACACAAATATAATAAAAACAAAATAAACAACAAGAAAACAAACAACAATAGAAAGAAACTTGTAAACAACGAACCGTTGAAATCACAAGAACAAAGATACTGCTTGCTTCGCACCTCGCAAGTATAAAAGGCGAAGCAAACGCAGTAGACGGGCATTCAGCAAGACAGCGAGCTAAGAACAGGTCGCTCTATATTACATGTGCTGAAACACCAAGAATCGAAATTTACATCTCGATTTCTATTTTGTTTTATTTTTTTTTATTTTATTTTTATTTTTAATAGAAATACACATTTCTATTAAAAATCATAATTAATAACGAAATTAACATTTCGTTAATAGTGATAGAAATATAAATTTCGATTACTCTATTGTTCATAACGAAATCAAATTTTCGTTAGTAAATTACGCGGTAAGGTGATAATACCACATGAGTATTAGCACCCATACCAAATCCATTGTCAGGGGCGTCGAAATTAACATTTCTACGCCAAAATCCATTGTATAGAGAAGAAATTCACATTTCTTCAAACCTTTTGTCAGGAGCGCTGAAATTAACATTTCTACGCCAAAATCCATTGTATAGAGAAGAAATTCACATTTCTTCAAACCTTTTGTCAGGGGCGCTGAAATTAACATTTCTACGCCAAATCCATTGTATAAAGAAGAAATTCACATTTCTTCAAACCTTTTGTCAGGGGCGTCGAAATTAACATTTCTACGTCAAATCCATTGTATAGAGAAGAAATTCACATTTCTTCAAACCATATCACCGTACCAACGTCACCATCCACCGTATTCCACTGTTCCTATCAAATAAATTTATTGTAGGACTGAACCTTGAATCCGGCGAGTAAAACCCCGGCCAGAAAGGTTCGTTACAGTATTAAGTATAATAATAAATCATATTAATCAAATATGTTATAAGTACAGTACTATATTAATATTACTTACTATTAATATTAATATAGTAATATTAAGGATAAACAGTAATTAGTAATATTAATAAATAAAGATTACCTAAAAATGTAGCAATGGCTGATCTTATATTTTCGAATATTGGATCGTTGTCAGTTAATATAGCGGTCCATTCTGGTTGGGGTTTGACGTTATTGGCTTCCCATTCCTTTAATTGATTTTTCCAATTTCGGTTAATTTTGTCACTTCTCTCATTTAAAAAGTTGTGTAGGACACAAGCACTTTTTATAATTAAGTTAACATTATCAATGTGGTTGTCTAGTCCCTTTCCAATTCTGAATCTTCTTCTGAATCTTGCTTTGAGGTGCCCAAAAGCGTTCTCCACTACCCTTCTGCACTTTGAAAAAACATAATTGAAATGCTTTTCTGTTGGACTAGCAAACTCACTAAAGGGATAGGGTTTCATCAAAATAGAAAAGCAGAATGCAGAATTTCCCAACAGTAGTGGAGGCATGCACACGCCATTTATTTCAACACAAAATTCTTTCATCATCGGTTTCATATGATGTTGTTTCAATTTAGATTTCTTAAATATTTGAGAATCGTTACAACGACCAGGGTAACCAACGTTAATATACATAAAGCGGCATCTTTAATATAGAAGAAGTTATTTAGTGAAGAAATTATTTAGGTTTCAATTCATAAATTGTAAATCACTACCTATAGTCTACAGCTGCCATAAATACTACAGAATACCAACCCTTGTAGTTGTAATAATCAATGGCTTCTGACTTTCGAGGACGCACTTCAATATGACAACCGTCTGAAACAAAAAATTCACTTATTCACTTATTTCCACATTGGATATTGAGTTACCTATAGCACTAATGCATTGTGGAAGTCCTAATATATTAAAACCATTGATGCAATCACGAATTGTTGCTTCATTTAAGGGGTACTGGTTTAAATAAATTGGTTGCATTATTTTCCAGACTTCAGTGCAAAATTCTTTAAGGATTATGCATACAGATGATCTCGACACTCCGAAAAGGTTGCCCACAGTTCTGTACTCTGCGGATAAGCCAAGTGCGTACACTGCAATGGCAACTCTCTTCTCTAATGAAATTGGTCTACGAAAGTTACTGTTTTGTTTTTTCATACTTTTGACAAAATCGCATAACTCTTTAAAAGTGTCCATTGTCATTCTGAAGTTTTTCTTGAAAAACGATGCATCTCTTTTTGGAATTTCTTCTTCCCAAAAAGTACTTAATCGAAGCTAAAAAATAAGTTTTCAGTTTATATTATACATTTTTTACTTTTATGTTATATATTTTACCTTCATCCATTTTTTTGGCACAGGTTTTACTTGGGCTACTAGTGCATTCATTAACAATTGCATTTTTATTTTTTTGTTTTTTTGCTTTCGTTTCGCTTTATTTATATTACTTGTTAATGTGATTACAATAGCTTTTATTGTTTGTAAAGAATTTAATTGTTCTGCAATAATCACTTTTTTATGTTGATTGT